AAAGCAGTCAATGCCTCTTGGTCTTCCTGTCCACATTCTGGCACGGACAGCGACTGGGGAGCCTGCTTGAGCTGTACGTAGGCAGCAGCTTCAGGTTCGACGACTAGGGTTTGGGCAGAGGCCAGCGTGTTGCTGTCAGTCACAGACGCTGGCGGCCCTGATCGAAAAGGACGCTCATCGCCTGCTTGTGCAGAAGAGCCACCGCTCTGGGGCCTGGGTGCAGCACTGCCCTCGTTCAGCATATTCATGGATGCAGGCCACTGCGACGCCGAGGCAGCCTCATTGAGGTTTGACGCTTCCATTTGCGAGCGCAGCGAAAACAGCTCGTTTTGCGGCGCTTGATCTGAAGTCGCTGCGTTGGCCGTGTGGTCCGCCTCTTCACGGTCGCGTTTGACACCGCGTGTACTAAAGCTTTCCGAACTTTCGCTGGCTTGATCAGAAAGAGGCGGCACGGAAGACCCTGCTGAGGGGTCTTCAGTAGGTGCGATGCTGGCTCCTTTGGCGTTGACTACCAGTTCAAGAACTTCGCGAACGTCTGGTGTCTCTTCTCCCAGCAGCATTGGCAACACTGTCTGTCCGAAAGCCGACCAGGGCATATCAGGACCAGCAGCGACCTCCCACAGACGCCAGACCAGTCGTGACATGCTTCGACAGCGGCTCTCGAGCTCCTCGAACTGCTCTCGCTTGCGCTGACGACTGAGGAAGGCGGCAGCGCGATTCTTGACCAGCCTCGCCTCGCGCTTTGTGAGCCCAGATGTATCAGGATGGACGAACAGCGACGAGTGAGTGGCCGACGTGTCAATGACCGGGAAAGGCTGGCCACTTTCGGTGATCTGCGATGCGGAAGGAGGCTCCCTTTTCTTGGATGATTTCGCTGGCGCAAGCTTGGCTTCTTCTGGCTGCTTCTCTGTGGCAAGCGATGGGCCCACTGCGGCAGGCTGAGCAGGCTGAGCAGGCAGAGAAGTGGCTTCACTTGCTTGCGCTTCACCATTGAGAGGATCCGTTTCAGCGGGGACATCGGCGCCGCTCGTCGGCAGAGGTGGAGATGCACCCTTTTTGGACTGCTTGCGCTTTGTGCCTCCGCCAGAACGTCGCTTGGAGTCACTGGAGCGATGCGCTACTTTCGAGCTTGCCGTGCTGGCACTACCGGTAGGACTACCGAGTCGGCGGCGCTTGTCTGACACTGGGCTCACATTGCCTAGCACGCTAGCATGGGCAGATGAGCTAGGGCTTGATCGATCTTCAGAGAAGGGGCTTGGCATGTTCTCCAGCGTGAAGTCCATTGGATGCTCGGAAGCTTCCATCTTGAGTCCCACCGGCGCATTCGGCATGGTCAGCATCTCCTCTGCGCCATCCACGTCGCGGAAGGGTCCGGCTGGGTAGGCATCAACGTGCGAGAGCCGCATGGCAAATTGGTCAGGGACAAAGCGAGCATCGTGCTCTATACCTCCAAAGCCATCGGCAGGCCATGCGACCGGCGACTGAATGCCAAAGCTTCGGAACGGTGGTTTATCGAAGGTGTACGAATGAGGGTTTGGCAATGGAAGGGCCAACGACAGGGCAGCGCTCGGGCTCTGGACCATGCTCATGCCCGTGTCTGGACTCGTCTCGGGGCTACTCTCGCCAAACTCGAATGAGAGGCTATGCAGAGAGGCGCTGTGAGAGCTAGGAGCGGAGAAATGGGTTGGGAAGCAGACATCGGCGGTGCTCGGCGAAGCTGGCAAAAGCGCGGGGGAGCCAGTCATTCGTCCACTCGAGTGATGAGCACCAGACTGAAGATGGCTCGGCACCGCAGAGATGGCAAGTTGAGCAGGCTTA